AAGCTCTCTCTGAGACCTGTAAGGGCCTCCCCGAAAACCTCCCTGGTCCCTGCCACCCTGTTCTTACACAAAGCCCTGGTTCTCCCACGGAGGCCTCAGTCCCAGTGCTGAGACCACCAGGCTGAAGATCTTCTTTGAACCTGGGGTTCTGGAAGAGGTCACTTGAGTCTCTGCCAAAGCACTTCTGATCTTACTAAATGAGTTGAAGACTTCTGGATAACTGCAGGGAAGAGCAGCACTCTGGCTAAGATGGGGCTGGATCACGCGTTGGTCTAGTACATCAAAGTCTCTTATTTCCACACATGCTTTCCTTTCTGTAATTCTAAGATGAGTGAGAATCTAACTTGAAACTACTAAACTGCAGTCTGGGCCACTGACCCCACAGCTGCGGACAGCTGCCACCTTCCCAGAAGCCAGGCTTTGGGCTGAAAACGTCTGCTGGGGGCACTTGTCTGGCCCGTGCTCAGCAGTTTCTCTGAGTAAAGAAATAACATTCCTGCGAGTTGGGCAAACATGGGGGCCAGTTCATTCATTCTTATCTACTGCCTGTATTTAGACTTCATCTATAAAAGCAAACTCTGGCTAAAGAACGATTTGACTTTTCTGATGTGGAAAACAAGTTGATGGCAATTTTTTTCCCAGGGAGTCTACATTTATATTGGGGTTTTCTTTTTATTATAGGACTTCAAAGCCAACCATGGTAATACAGACCCGTCATTTCAGGTCTTAGGAGGCTGAGGCAGGAGGATTCCAAGTTTGAGGGCAGCCTGGGCCACACAGTGAGTTCAAGGATAGCCTGGACTACGTATCAAAACCTTGTCTCAAATGTAAAAAAGGTTTTAATTAACTTTGGCAGGTTGTACCCTTCAGATTTCTTTCCTTGTGAGGATCACAAAATCTGGAGGGAGGCTGTAGTGATACCGGCTCTACACACAAGGCTAAAAAGAACTTATGTATGTGTCTCCATTCAATAGCACCTTTTAAAATTTTCATAATCTAGTCTGAGTCAGCTCCAATAAAGCAATGTTAAATCCAATCTGCTCTACACAGAATTATTTCCTGGCCAACCAAAGACTTTGCCCCAGTGCTGGGGTATGACCCCAGTGCCCTGAGCATGCCAGACCAGCACTCCACCTCTGAACTACACCCAGGCCTCCAATTGCTCCTATCTGGGCTGCTCCTGCTGAGGAACCAAGCACCTTCAAGTGGCTCATCTCAGATACTCTCCTTGGTATCAGTGCAGGGAGCGAAGCCGCTACAAACTTTATGGAACACACTTTGGCAGTGACACAACAAAATTCAGGATGTTCATAGCCAGCAGGTCCATTTATGATAATTTAGAATGAAAAAATAATCTGAATTATAGATGGAAGCTAACACATAACAATTTTCACACTAGCAACATTTAGAACACGTTTGGAATAATCTCTACAGGTTTTTTTAAGACTAAGAAATGATAAGCAACCTAAACATATATAGAGAGATAATTTACCATGCAATATAAAACATAATATTTTAGAGTTATTAAAAATGGTGCTGGCCAGGGATTCAGCTCAGTGGCTTAAGCACCTGCCTGGCAAGCATAAGGTCAATGAGTTCAATTGATGGTACCAAGAAAAAAAAGTGCCTTGCCCACCATGGTGCGTGCCTGTAATCCCAGCACTTGTATCCTGGGCTACAAAGCGAGTTCAAGGTCAGCCTGAACAGCACAGTGAGACCCTGACTCAAAAAGACCAAAAACAAACAAACAAAAAAAAGATGCCTTGGTGGGTGTGGTGATGTACACCTGTAATCCCAGTACTCATAAGGCTGAGCCAGAAGTGTTGTGAGTTTGAGGCTACCTGGGACTACACAGTGAGACACTGTCAAAAAGAAAGAAAGAAAGAAGAAAGTAAGGTATAAAGAATGGTGCCCTGGGGCCAAAAGGAAACATTTCTGGAAACGAAAACTAAAAATGTGCTTCAATGGTTTATCAGTTTGGATCATCAAAATAAGACCACAATTATATATTAATTTTATCTTGTCATTGAGATGTTTTTACATTATATAACATTTTAAGAAAATATATTAATATAAATTGTCAAGAAAGAATATAGTTTGTCTTTTGGGGTTTTTTGGAGACAAGATCTTACTCTGTAGTCTTGAACTTGAAGTGATCCTTCTATCTCAGCCTCCTGAGTATTGGGATCAGGTGTGAACAACCAAGCATAGTTTAAGAAACAGTATAGTAATAAAATAAAAATAGTACCTCAAAGAGTAATCCCGTTTTATTCTAAGGACAGAGAACTTCTTTGTATACACCTTCCTGTACTTTGAAGATGCATTTATTTATTTACTTATTGAGACAGCATCTTTCTAGATACTGAAGGCTGGCCTTGAACACACTATGTAACCCAGGCTGGCCTCAAACTCTTGGTGATCCTTTTGTTTGACCATATCTCATCCAATGCTGGGATTACAGATGTGAGCCACCACACCCAGCCAGCAGATATAATTTATATAAAAAACCAGTTATCAACAAAGAGTATGCAATGACATAAGAAAAAATAGTTAAGACAAAAGAATAAACATTGTATATATAGTATGTGTGGTAAAATACTAGCAAGAAATAGATAATGCTAATAATTAACTTCTATTTATTATTAAAAGTAAAATATGCCTTAAACTAGACATGGTGGTACATGCCTGTAAACCTACCATACTATGAGGCTGAGGCAGGAGATTAACAAGTTTGAGCTCAGTCCAATTTAGTGACTCAAAATTAAGAATACAAAACTTTTAAAAATCTGGGACTGTAGTTTAGTGTGAAGGCCTAGGTTCAATCCCCAGTTCTGCAAAATAAACACAGCAAAATGTGCCTAAAATTATAAACTAATTGGATAATATTGATTTGTTTTCTAATTTTTAAAATTTTATTTTTCTCCCAATGAACTTCAAATATACTGAAATCTCATTCTTATTTGCTAAGTGAAAGATCCCAGAGGGTCAAGGATTAATTTAAGAGGATATTTGGTGAAAATACTAAACCATGTTGGATGTTTCTGCTCTATAAAACCTCAGAAGTATCTGAGATCGAATTACATCGTGATGGCGGATCCTGGCTACCCTGCTATTTACCAGCGCCCAGGATTCCAAAGGGGTGCAAACTATAATCGCAGCCAGAAGCACAGTCCCTAGAGGCGGATGGTGGCCCTACCACCCATCCTTTGCTAGCTGTATTGTTTAGACAAGCGTCCTAGTCACGCTCTCGGCACCGGGACACAGTACCCAACATCCATAACCGCAGTTTCAGAACTTTCAGTCCATGCTCAGCAGACTGAAACAGCATTGGATGGTGGAAGGGCCCACGGAAAGCCAGCTGCTCAAGTCACAGCTACCAGGAAGCAGAGCAACAGGAAGAAAAAAGACCGGAAGACACTCTTCCAGGCCCCGCCCCTCTCTTCCAGGCCCCGCCCCGCCCCTCCTGACCCAGGTCAAGCCTTCTAATGGTGCATTCAGCTATGGCGCCCTCTTGATCTAGTTCTCCCACGAAAGCCCCGCAGTCTAAGCACACAGGCTTTGGGGTCATCCAGATATAAATCATAAGGGCAAGGGGAGGACTTGTACTTTCTGAACACCTGTCTGGAAGACACACTCGGGGCTGCACACATGCGTAGCGAGTGCTTGGAGATGGCCTTCACACAGCCTTTGCTGTCACTGGCACCACATGCTGACCCCCACTCCCAGCACCCTCCTGTGGACACCTCATCCGGAGTCCATTTCAGTAGGGTACTTCTCAGGTAAAAGCCATCTGTCGGCCAGGGTCTAGCTCAGCTAATACGGGTGAGGCCTGGGTTTGCTCCCCAACATCACAAAACAAGCAAACTCCCAAAATAAAATCGAGCTGCACAAGGTGGAGCAGTCTAGAATCCCAACTACTCAGGAAGCTGAGGCAGGAGGAGGGCAGGTAGGAGGTCAGCCTGGGCCATGAATGAGACTCTGTTTTAAACGAAATCAAAAGGTTTGGGATGTAGCTCAATGGGAGAGATCCCTTGGGCTCAATCTGAGAGGGAAATAAAAGCATTTTAAGCAATTTTTATGTTGAGAGATGAAAAGAAGACTTTCTTCTACTTTATCTGGAAACACAAGAGAGGCTAATGAAAGTCTCATTTAGTCTAAAACCTGGCTCTTAGAGTTGGTTATTAGGTCATGGATTTGCAAGGCCAGAAATTTAACAAACAACTCAACTGATTTCTCTGCTGTTCTGTGGTTCACATTACTCTTAATCACAGCCAACCACCTCACAAAGGGACCTAAGGAAAGCTGTCTGTCCGGGTCTCTGCGGGACAGAGCAGGTAGAGGTCAGCAGATGCATAGTCCTTGATTTATTTTGTTTTTTGTTTTTGCTACTTAGCACAGGCTGATCTCAAGATGCTTCCGCCTCAGCCTTCAAGTAGCTGGGATTACAGGCACGTGCCACTCTGCTGAGCGCCCAAACCCTACAGGCCATAGTAACTCTTTCTCTATGGTGTATGGGTACCGGCTAAGTTACTCACATCCTTAATGAACTGAGTTGGATTGGCCTTTATGGAGAAACAAACAAGAGAAGACAGGGGACCAGGGATTTAGCTCAGCAGCACAAGCGCCTGCCTGGCAATTGCAAGATCATGAGTTTGATCCCTGGTCTAAAATACATTAATAAGTAAATAAATAGAGAAACAGTGTCTGTCTCCCATGATTGGATGTGGCTGAAGCAAAAAGAAATACTGTGAGGGATAAAAGCAATGATCCCAGGTCCCATAGTCTCCACTCAGTGGACCTAGGGCCTTTCTTTTCTGTAGGCGACCTGTGATACAGGCAGGAACCTGCAACACAGCAGGGACCCACCATGCCTCATGTCACTGAGGGTCTCTGTATGAAAAGTGGGATGAGCACAGAGGGAAGAGGACCGCAGACCAGCCGGAAGTGGAGGGAGCCGCCTCCCCTCCTGCCGCTTCCCGTTAGGGTCAGAGTGCTCTTACCTCCACTGAGGATGATGACGGCTATAAATATGGCCAGGTCACTGTCGTCCAGTTCCAGTGCATTGAACTTCACGGCAAATTCAAATTTAGGTTCCATAAAGTCACTAAAGGGCTTCCGCAGGCTCTTGAGGAACTCGCGGGTCATGAAGCCCTGGCCCTCAGAGATGAGCATGCCGTCCTTGTTCATCAATGAGGCCAGCATGGTGTAGATGATCTCGTGCACACCATACTTGAGCAGGGTCACCTGGTCATTGAGGTCGAGGCCCACGAAGCCTGGGATGCTCTTGGCATACTCCGTGATCTCTTGCACGGCCTCCACCGAGCGGAACTGGCAGCCCTGGAAGATGCGGATGGCCACCTCCTTGCTCTGCTCCTGCAGGGGTGTCATGTGCTTGAACTTGATCTTGTCTTCACCCATCATCAGGGAATTCATATCATAGATGACAAATGGCTGCAAGTGAAAAGGGGGAAAGTGGCTGAGTTGGCAGTTTTTCACCCATGGATTACAACAACTTCGATCAGAAAACTCACTTTTGTCCATCTGCTTTGCTAGCTAAAACCCCACTGAAAAGATGCATCTTCTTATGCATCTGTATAATCTGAGGCACCAACATATTTCACAGATTTTTATTCTTTCCCTGCAATTTATGCTGTTAATACTTCACCTATGATTATGTGGTAGTTCTTATTTCTGTTGCTTAATGTATATTATGATTATTAGATTTTTTTTGTTGTTTTTTGTTTGAGACAGATCTCAATGTCCTTGACCACTTATATAGCCCAGGCTGACCTCAAACTCATGGCAATCCTCCTGCCTCAGCCTCCAGAGTCCTGGGATTACAGTGTGCACCTCCATGCCCAGCTTGTTTGACTTTTAAAATGATTTTTAAAAATCTGTTGTTTATCATGGCTTTTAAAAGAATACATTTTTCTACCTTCCTTCATTAAAACTCAAATTCAGCAACCTAGAGTTACAAAGATCCAGTTGAACAGAGTAATTTTCCAGTTTTAGATTAAATCTACTCAGATCATAAAAGAAACACGGCGCACATATAAAACAAGCTTTGCTATATAAATCACTCCAAAAGTAGATTAGAAATAGCCAAGAAAACATCTATTCCTTTTTGAATCCTCTGGAAGTCATCTGTTTCAGACAGCAGATGCAGGGGTCTGCAAAAAGTGGCAACATAAAAAATGGTTTTGATTTCTTTTTTGGCATCCTGGGGCTGGGACCTAGGGCCTTGTATGTGCTTAGGTGAGTGCTCACCACTGAGCTGTACCCCTAGCCCTGAATTTAACTTTTTTATCTATCCTTACAGATCAGCTAATCAATAACATGCATCACTTCCTCAGTCTTGCAGTTGGCTGCTCTGAATGGCAAGGTGTGTGGCCAGGAATTCTCTGCACCCTTCCTGCCCTTGTGTAGAGCTCACCAGGGGTGGGTGGCCTTGGGAGTCTCAAGACTCCTCTGACTCCAGAGGCACAGGTAGAAACTTCCTGCAGCTGCCTGCTCAGGGCTAGGCCGGGCTTCTGCGCTGTCATTTGGTTTCCTGGCACACAGCATATGCACACAATCCTTTCACCACCACAGAGCGATTATCTGGACCTGTGCCCTGCTAAGTCACCCTTGTGACTCTTCCCGACTTCCCCTGTCCCCTCATATAAAGCCTCAGGTTCCTGTTTTTGAAACACTGGGATAGTTGGACATAGGGCACCAAATCCTGCTAATTTTCTCTCCCAATTTAACAACAATGTGACTTTAACCCCTTGGCAATCAGTGTTGCTCAGGATTTCCTGGCAGTAAACACTCAAGGACAGAGAAAGGAACCAGCACCCCCACCATCATGCCAAGCCAGACCCAGGGTTTGCTTGTTTGTTTGTTTGTTTGTGTTTTTTTTTTTTTTTTTTTTTTGAGCAGGGTCTTGCTATTTGGTCCAGGCTGGCCTCTAGCTAGTGACAATCCTCCACTTCAGCCCCCAAATGCAGGGATTACAGGCCTGCGCCACCAGGCCTGGCTTCAGTCCCACTGTTTATAACAAAAGGCCTTCAGCATTTAGAAAAAGTGGGGAGGTGGCGGAGAATGCTGGGTACTGACAAGCAAATGAACACCAGCAGGAAGCTTTTGCTGTTTTCCCTGGTTCTGCCCCTGGAGGCTGTTTTTTGCGCATTTTTTAAGGTTGATCGATTCTGGATCCCGAAGACTGCAAGTGTGATCCTCAGCCTGCAGGTGGGTCGTGGGGTTTAGACTGCAGGTGGTCTGCTTCGCCATCACTTTCTCTGCTCACAGGGATCTCCTTGCCTCTAAAGTTGGAAGAGAGTGGGTTCCCTGTCTTCTCGATTGTAAACAGCTAAATCGTAAGCCTGCATCACCAGCTCAGCTGACCTCCTGTGGGACAGTGTCTCATGTAAAACATGCTCTCCTTCTGCAGACATCTTTCACAAAGATACAGAGCAAAGCGCACTCTGGCACTCCTGATCAATGAAGACAATGCCATCGGATGACCCGCCACCACAGGACGGGGAATAGTGACCTCTGAGCTGTGTGAGACAAGCTGATGTTTCTAGATTGGGACGAACAGAGGGTTCTGACACTGCACCCAGTGGCTTGTGCTTGTAACATACTGGGCAGACCTAGAAAAGGTAGCCAGGGAGGCACAAAAGCTGAACTTGAACCCAACATTCTTCCTGAAGAGCAAAATGGTTTCCATACGAGAAATCTAATTTTTTTGCAGAGATGTATCAAATATAATTTGTTTTGATGGCATGATATCCTCAGGCTCCTTGTTATTCTGCGTGGAGATTCCCATCATCCTCTTGTTGAGAACCATCCAGTTTACAGATCAAAAGGACCTTCCAGAGTCACCAGCATCTTCATTTCCTATCTCTGTATGAACAAACTGAAGCCAAGACACCACAAAGTCAAATTGTTACTCTTTTTGTTGTATTTTTTTTTGAGACAGGGCCTTGCTATGTAGTCCAGGCTGCCCAAACTCGCTTTGCAGCTGATCTCACCATCCTTCCCATCTTCTTGCTTCAGCCCCAAGTCCTGAGATTACAGCAGCTGGTCCCCTCCCACCCAACAGCTGGCCGAGTCCACCTTCAAGACTTCTCACCGGTGTGTCCACTCCTCTTCAAGAACATCCTTTCCCCGGATGCACCAGGAGTGCTTCTGAGTGTGTTTTCTGGGGTGCCGCCAACGCCCCTCTGCAACAGAAGCTAGGCGGGAGAATCTGTCAGCTGTGATTCCATCTCCGCATGTAGTTTAGAGACTTAAGACAAACAAACAAAACCTTACAACGAGGGATTATCCACAAGCAAATGAGCTAGTGTAAGTAAGCGCAGCTCTTCAGACTCATCCAGTAGCAGCCAAATGATTACTTTGGGTAACAAGGGTGCTGGCCCATAGAACCCGACCACTGGGAAAGTGCACTGCAACAGGTGATGGTTTCCTTCTCCACAGAGAAAACATTATTAACACTTCTGCTGCTTGGGGATGGAACCTCATGCATGCTAGGCAGAGCCCTAGCATTGAGCACACCCCTGGCCTTGATCATCTTTCCCTTACTCTCTGAAAAGAACACTGTTGGCCCAGATTTGTTACATCTTTAGCTATTGCTGATGGCGCTGGCAATAAAATAAAATAATGTATTTTTTAACACTGATACTTGGATGAATGATCCCATGAACCACGGAAACTACTCTGCTCTATAGGGTTCCCCAAATCTCCTCTAAGGACCCCACTTGCAAACTGCAGCTTGCTCAGATTTCTCCAAAGACCACAGGAAACTGAGCCACTCTGGCAGCAAGTGTAGGATTTAAAAGGAGAGGGATCCTTCTGGTGATGGGAGTGCCTCAGTCTGAGGGCATCTGTAAATTCAGAAGACGCACATGGCAGTGGGCACAGAAACGCTTTCTCAGACATTTACAACCGCAGGCTGCATTTCACACACGGTGTGGCAGGACCGCTTTTCCCTGTGCCAGTGTCCTTACTGGAACAGCGAGTCCACAGCGTCTACCATAAACACAGGGATGCTTTGGAACCCAAAGTCCAATGTAGCACAAATAAAAAGTTTTATTCCTTGTTTGTAGATAGAGTGCAGCCAGCACTTTGCCACCTCTCAGATACGGAGGGAATCGTTGGCAGGCACGCCAAGGGCTTTTCTATTTATGGTTTTATGACAAACCCTGGCATTGAGGATGGTTTTTGAAAACCACTCTCTGTTTATTTCCATCAACAAACATGAGATCATGTGACGACGACACACCCTACACAGCCCACCAGGGCAATAGTCAAACACTGGGAACTTCCAAAGTCCATTCAGTATCAAACTGCCTTCAAGAAAAGCAGAGCCATAGGTTTGGGGATCAGCAGGGCCCCAAGAAGGGGCTTTGGCCTCAATTGACCACCCAAAGGGGACAGAGACCTATGATCCTAAACTTTCTTTCCCAGTGACTCACTCCACTGTCAGTCTGTTCTTCGCCCTGGGTCTAAAATTCCCAGCTTTTATTCTTTTAGGCAAGAAAGTGACCAGTAGGGACAATTTATCCCCAAGGTGTGATGTGAAGGTTGATAGGAGGCCAGCAGGCACATTTAATTGATCTGTTTTGAAAGGTGCGAGTGGCCCTGGGGCATAAGATAGGGAAGGAGGAAGTTTAGATCAGGCAGTGAACACTGAGGAGCAGCTGGCCTCAAAACAGGCAGTGCTTCAGTGAGGCAAACTGAGAGACCGGCCTCTTCCTCGGGGTTTCCTTTCCAAGGGTCGTGGGTGACTGTCATCCACTAAGCCCAGCAGCCTCCCCCGGCCTGGCCCCACCATGGAGAATGACATCAGCCTGCAGCAGAGCCACCCCGAGACCCAAAGTGCTCCTCCCTGTGAACCCTACCCTCTCCAGAGGCCACACTTCAGCACAGCTTTTCCTATCAATGCGAATCTTAATTTTCACAGACCTGGCCAAAAGATAACATAACACCCCTGAGATAGATGCTATCAAATGAATAACACTACAGAACAAATCTCCAGTCTCATTGGAAATCACTTTTTTTCTTGCTCATATTCCTCTCTCAGCTATTTCTTTCCACTGTACTTAAATTAAGATTTTGCAAGATAAGGAGAAAATAGAGTATGCTGTAATCAGCAAACAGATTATTTTAATTTGGCCCAATCTCTCTTTCCTTTTCCAGACCCAAACTTGAGGTAAATCTGTCTTTATCCAGATCATTAATGATGTCCAGTTTGGTGAGCAAATATTGAACCAGCGAAAAGCCCTCTGTGGAAAGTCCAGCGTTTCAAAGGGCACAGGCAACAGCTCTTAATCCAATGAAGCAAACACAGTCTGAGTAACCACCACTGACAAGCACAGTGGAAGGGAGCTGGGGAAATGACCAGCACTGGGCTTCTGAACTTGACGGGTTCTGATCAAGCATTTTGTAGTCTTTTCCCTTAAAAATAGGCTTACTAGCTATTTATTCCCCAGAGGTCTCGAATTATCTTACCTTTAACTCAAAGATTTAGAGCCAACAAGTGGGTCAGAATGAGGTCTGAAGGTGATTTACACTGATTTGGGCTCTGTGTCCTTCAGGAGAAAGGTAAGAGTACTGAGGTAGAGATTTAAATTCTTGACTATAGGGGTTTCTCCCCTGCCCCCCAACTTTTTTTCCTCTTCTGTTCTCCTCTCTCCTTCCCCCTCTTCTTTTCTCTTTTTTTTTGTCCAAGACTATTAAAAGGAGAGGCTTCCCCACAGGGATGGCAGGTATGGAAGGGGTTAGAGAAGGTGAGAAGCCAGTGCCTGTCAGGTAAAGGGCCATCGGCAAATCAAGGCCAGACCTGCTCCCAGGCTCGGCTCTCAGAGTTGTGGTGTGCAGGGTTGGTCACCAGCCCTTCCCTGGGCTGCTCCTAGCCAGCCATCACAACCTGCCCAGGTGCTAAGGAGTGCAGCTAGGCCACCTCCGTGGCCCTCTTAGTTCTCTCCTGCAAGTGAGGACAGGTTCATTTTCTGTAGTCAGATCAGCTGCACGCAAGTCTTCCCTCCTGTCTGGTCTTCTATGGCTCACATTTTTCATTTGCTGAGGCTCCAGGGACTCAGTTTTCCTCTTGCCTGTGTCCTGTGGTTCTGTGCACAGGGGAGGCAGCCATCTGGCCACAAGGACCCAAAAGACCAACAGCACAAGTAAGAGGGCCTCACTATGGATACAATGAGGTGCAGAGCAGCCCAGAAACCTGTGCTCTTCATGACTGGATAAAAAGTCACACCCAGGAGGTTCCCAGTGAAGACTTTCTCAGAACTCCCGGTGTGCATGACTTCCAGCTCACTGCCACCCAGGAGACCCTTCCAGGAGCAGCGAGGCAAAAACGTACTACGAATGTTCTAGACGGGCAGTCAGGATGCCTGTGTGTTGGGCCCATTCCTTCCACACACTTGCTGTGGGATCCTAGGATACAAGGCTTAACTTCTCTGGACTTAAGTTTCCATGTCATTAAAAAGAGGAGCACAATAAACTGGGTGCGGTGACATAGGTTTATACTTCCAGCTACTTTGGTGACTGAAGCAGGAGGATCTGAAGTTCAAGGCTGGCCAGGGTAACTTAGCAAGGTGCTCTCAGACCAAAATAAAAATGGCTGGGGATGGGGCTCAGCGGTCAGTGCTTGCCCAGCACTGCAAAATAAAATAATAAAGTAAAATAAAATAAATCAGTAATAGTTGGATGGTCGTGCAGCTTGAATACAAGGAACATGAAATTGTAGCAAACTTGGGTGTATTATTGCTAAGACACCCTGACCTCTTTTGCAAGTGGGAAGCTCACTGTCCTGCTTGTCATTGGCTCCTCACAGTTTTTTATCAGCTGAGTCACATTTACTAAATGGTTTAACTAAAAGGAGCAAGTGACACGTTGCCATGTTATAAGTACGCATGACAGGGTAGTAAGATCTCCCTGAAGACCACTGCCTGTGCAGAAAGTACCTGCATCTGCCAGCCAGAGACGTCCCTCTCCTGCACTCAGTCCCTTTGACACAGGCAGGTGGCCAGCAGTAGCATCCCCTGTGAGTGCCCTGTGGGACTCACTGCCCTGGAACATCCTGCCAGCCTGGAATCAAAGCCAGACCCTGTCCATAAACATGAGGGGCAGACACCGTCCAGGGGGTTCTGTCTGTGGGCAGCACAATCAAGGCCAGAATACAGGTACACTTTTCTTTTGTCACTTTCTCAGCTTATACTAAGCAAGAATTATGCTTGCTGGAAAATTTAGTGATAACCACAACCACCCTATTCAGAGTTTCTGCAGATGTTTTAAGAGCCCATTTGAGTGTTGGGGTGCAGCCAGTGGTAGACCTCTTGCCGAGTAAGGGCAAGGTCCTAGGTTCCTTCCCCAATGCAGCAAAACAAACAGACAGGCAGTCAATGTCAAGGTTCCAAATATGAGTTCACTAGGTGGCTCAAATCCCTGCAGAAGATTTCATTTATGCAATGAAAGAATAGAGCTTCCAGCTCCCTGGAATGAATACTAGGGCCCACAGGTTATGTAATATATGTTAGATTATAGAAAAGGTTATATAATATCCGGAATGAATTTCCATCCCCTACATTGAGCTTTGTAAGAGGTGATTCTGCTCCTCCTCTGGAAAAGTAGCAGCGGGACCAGACACCTTGTCCTAACCTAGGTCAGGCTGTTACAAAGAAAAGCAGGGCTGCCAGAATGGCTGTGGCCTGGTGGGCTTTTTGTTTGTTTTATTTTGGTGGCAGTTGGGATTCAACTCAGGCTCTTCACACTGAGCTATGCATCCAACCGGTACTTTTTATATTTTTTGTTTTGAAACAAGGTCTCACTAAGTCTTCAAGTTGCCAAGGTGGGCTTGGAGCTTGTGATCCTCCTGTCTTGGCCTCCCAGAGTGCAGGGATTACAGCTTGAGGCATCATGCCCAATAAGTGGTCCTGAAAGAGGGTGGTAGCATGACAGGGCTCATCCATTAACATTAAATTGACCTGTACATTCTTTCGCTAGTCTCCATGATTATATTAAACTTGGAGGGCTTTTTCCTTTTTGAAATAATGTTTACCTAGCCCTATCTGAAGACATTTCCTGCAAAGTGTTACAGCCAGCAGCTGAATCGCCCAGCCAATCATCGACTCAGAGGAAACCCTCCCCCCATGGAGACAGCAGAGGAGACTAACTGATTTGTCCGTGGTCTTTCCTGTCAAAATCGCCCGGGCCTTGGCTTTGGTCAGAGGGAAGGACTTGATGTATGAGTCATACAGGTGCTTGGCCAGGGCCCGGAGGTCTGCACACTCTGGGGTCAGCTGGTCGATGTCACTGGAGATCTCAGCCAACAGTTTCTCTTTCTCAGCCTGTGGCATCCGCCCAAACCTGATGGCTGCAGAGAAAGAGGAAGGACAGGGTGAATCACCAAATTACTCTCTCTAGTGTCCCGCTGCCCACCTGGCCCTGGTTCCCACACAGGAGGACTCCTGCTGTCTCCACTCCTTTCACCTTCTGGTTTCTGTCCATTGCTTTGATGGTATTTTTATTTCCTGCCAGTAGATCATCAGTAAAAGTTAAACTGTTATTTAAATAATGCAAGTCAACATCTTGCCAGGACTGTCAAAGAGTTTGTGTAGCAAGAGGAGGGAAATGTCCACTTAACTATGAAATAACAGACAGCCAACTCCTCTTCATCCTTCATGGCCCAATTCAAATGTCACTCCCTTTGTGAGGCTTTCAAGGCCTTCTAATTATTCCTTCCCCAGAATATACTTTAAGGAGAGCCCATTTCAAAGGCCTATTTATCCCACCGCAGTACAATGTCCAAAGGCATTTGGACAGTATCTTGTTCATCTTCATAGTCCCAGCATCTGATGTACCACCAGGCTCAGAATGACCTATAGATTTCATCAATTAAAGTCAGGACCTTGTAGAAGTCAGAGGGGCACACACAGGCTGTGCTCTCAGGAAGTCGGTATGATCTACTTTGTCCTTGCTGTAAAGAACTATGGATGGTGTTTTATGTCACTTATCAGGCCACAGAGCACTTCATGTTTAGTGTATTTATTCCCTTGACTTAATGACGTCTGTCAGAAAGATAATATCCTCCCATTGTGTTTTGCTTGTGGGGTGAGGAAGTGGAAAAGCAAAGAAAAGGAAAGACAGGCAGGGAGGAACAGGCATGAGGCCTGGAGTGGGAAATTCATCTGGGGGCTGGCAAGCAGCTCACTATGGGGAACTTGCCAGGCATGTGCGAGACCCTGGGGTCTATCCCCGGGAAAACAATTCACAATAACTGTGACTTTTCAATTTAGGTCGGTTTTCCTTCCTCCTTGCCAGTGCTCTCTGTGAAATAGGACTTTGAAAACCCTCCTTGGGGACCTCTCTGGACACTGAGGCTACCATATTTGCTACTATGCATGTCCGGGGTCAGGATGATGGACGAGGGTCCCTTCTCCAGGTGAGCAGCACCTTTGGGTACAATGGTGTCTTGCTCGCTCACCTCAGTGCTCAGTGGCACTCAGTCAATGGCTGTGGAATGAAGGAATGAACAGAGGGCTGGCTCTTTGAGACACTGCATGACAGCTAGCATTTCTGTTGGAAGTGCAGAGACACAGGGTCTTCTGAGTGCTTAGGGACTGTGTTGATCTATTTATTCACTTGGTGCTGGGTATGCAACCCAGGGTCTTGTGCATGCTAAGTATGTGCTCTACCACAGCGCTGCAACCCTAGCTAAGTTTTATTTCAGTAGATCATTTGTATCCTTGACACTCAGATTTATTAATTCATTTCAAGTGACCCTGAATCATCTTCATCATCAACCAATCCAGCTATTGTTACAGAGCCTTGGACTCAGAGGGGAAGGGACTCTTGTCTCTTAGTGAGGATTCCTTTCAAGTAAATTAGCCTTTCTAAGACATTTTTGGTAGGTGGGTCCTTTATACTTGACCTTTTCAAATAGAAGTCTTTAAATATTGCCAAATTTTGGTCAAAAACATGTTCTCTCTCTTTTGCTCTTTCCTTCCTCTTTGCTTTTAGTTCCCAGGGCTGGGGGTGGATGTGCACATTCTCACAGGGTGAGGAGTCCTGGTTCTCAGCTGAGACTTGCTGGAGTGCCTCAGGGTGCAGCTATTTACCTCTCCTGTGTCTCATGGCTCTGAGCACAGCAACCATTCCTAATATTTTCTTTTTTCCTCTGTAGTGCAATCTCCACAAAGGCAGAAATCTTGTTCATTATGTATCCCTGACTCTTGGTGTACTATCTGGCGCACAGTAAATTCACACACACACACACACACACACACACACACACACACACACACACACACACACCTTTGTGTGTATGTGGTGCTGGGATTGAACCTAAGGCTTTGTATGTGCTAAGCAACCACTCTGCCCCTGAGCTATATTCCCAGCCCTTTACAAATTTAATTCAATTTTATTTTGAGACAAGGTTTTTCTAAATTGCCCAAATTGGCTTTGAACTTGCCATCATCCTGCCGCAGGGTCCTGAAAAGCTGGGGTTATAGGTGCATGCCACCATGCCTGGCCTTTGTATATTAAGAAATGAAAAACACAACTCCTTCCAACCTCCCCGGAAGCTGTTCCCGACCATCGTTCACCCAGAGAGCAGCCCCTAGCTGCTTCCTGTTTGTTGGGGTGTTCTTAGCTGCTCTCCGCTGGGGAGTGAGGGGGTAAAGCAGGCAGAGTGCTTGGGAACTGCCTAGGAACTTCCCAAGTTGCTTGTCTCTTGGGAGAATTTCGGTGAGAGTGCTAAGCCACCCTTAACACACTACAGGAGTGACTAAAACATTTGGAATTTGAAAAAGCTTCCTAAATACTGGGCTCAGTCACATGCTTACAGGAGACCATCACTGGACTTTGACGGCTTTATGCTGGTTACTAGGACAGAAGTCCTGTAAATCCTATGAGCTTTTCCTATTTTTGGCTCCTGGGTATGGCAAAATACACATAGTAGGCACACAGTAAATGTTGGGTGAATTAAACTCCAAAGTATTTCAAGTTTAAAAATGGGCAGAAAAGGAGACAGTCAACCCACCAGGAAGCACCCAGAAATGACCAGGAGAGAAGGCAGCAGGAAACAGGTAGGGCATAAGTCGGGGTGCAGCTCAGTGGTACGGCATTCACCCTAGTGTATCTCTGGCCCTGGGTTCTACCCCCAGCACCACCACACACCACAAAGCTATGAAAAGATGAGAACAGGGCGTTATCATACAACAAAGCAGAGGGGCCTCAAATCCCCAACTATCTGTTGCTGTTGGACTTATTTCAAAGATCACAAACAATTTGGTCTCTTCACCAAATAATAACTGAGTGCCTATCATGTCCAGATGTTGCTCCAAGCTCTGGTTAAACTTTTAAAGGTAAGAAACTCTAAACACACATAGAAGTTTACAAAAGTAAGAAAGCAATTTTTTTTCCTCCTGGGTAATCAAAAACATTAACTTAAACACACAAAGATAGTCAAGATATTTAACAGAAATAGCTGAATGACTGGTAATTTGTTAATGGTAATTTTTGAATTAGGAGATAAAGAAAACTCCTTTTTGCTAATATCTAAACAAGATATGAATTTTCATAAATTGAAGTGTTTCCCAAAGGTTATATCTTATGAACAAATTATCTGTATGGTTAAATGGCCATGCTACAAATTAGGTTCAACCATCAGTGCAACTGGTTATACAGGTGATTTTAACATTGTTACACACCAGAGGTCCAGAAAAGGGATTAAGAATAAATTGGTAGGACTAAATTTGCATGCAACATATAAAAATCTGAAGTTATAGAAGAAATAAAATTTTTAATTATATTGTTTTGTTTTACTTTGGTTTTTTTGATATAGGCTGTCACTATGTAGTCCAGGCTGGCCTTGAACTCATGATCCTCTGCCTCAGCCTGTCATATGCCAGCCAGGCACCATCACACCCAGCTTGAATTCTTTTTTAAAGGGGAAAAGCTGATCTTCTATTTTGTTTTCATCGCAGCTACCACCTTCTAGATCAGGACTAGCCATGGTATGCTGCTTTCAGGTAGACAACAAGCCCCACACAGCCAGTCTGTGTGGCTCTCTATCTTTAAATTGTTTAAGAAGTGTTTTTCAGCTCAGTAATTTTCTCTCTTCTGTGATTCTCGGGGTGAACCCAGAGCCTGGTGTGTGCCAAGCAAATGCTCGCCACTAAGCCGTATCCCCGACTGGTTCCCTGCCTCCAGGTGGAGAATCAGAGAACCAGAACAAGAGAGACTGCAGAGGTTAGACTGCTGTTTCCTAGAAAGACTGAAATTAGAGCTTTGAAATCCAGGACTTTCTGGATTGAGAACCAGAAATCCAGAGGCCCAGTGTGCCCACATGCAAGTGGATTTTTTTTCTGCTTGTACTGATACTCATTTTAAAAGACAGAAGGTGATTCTCCCTGCATGGCTGTGAGCCCCTGGGCAGAGATGTGAGCTTCTGCATGGCCACGATATGTAATCAAGAAGTCCACTTTCTAGTTTTCCCCTGTGACACACCAATCTCGTGGCTTTCAGAAAACCACAGAACTTCTCTGATCCTCAGAGAGAGAGAGAGAGAGACTCATTCTCTCTGTTGTACAGATTTAGCACCTGTCACATAATCTTCCAGAATGTCGGCACTCGATTTCATGTTGGGGATAACTAACCACCTCCAGAGGGCTGGGGTGTGGCTCCATGGCGAGTGCATGCCCAGCACTGCAAAGTCAGTCAATCAATCAATCAACCAATCAATCAGTCATCACCTAAAGGCAATTCGGGTATCTTGGTTAAAAACACCAACCTGTACATCTGAACAGGAAGGTTCCCTGTGGAACACTAGGCTTGGGAGAGGGCCAATATATATTGTATATATTTCACACAATTGCTTTTACTCTCATATGAACATATGACAGATTCAGCATCACATATGTCAGTACTGATTTTACTGAACAACAAATTCCAAGCTCATGGAATGGTTGCGTATCCTGTTTTCCAGATCTGGGTAGTGTGTTAAGAAACAATTAACTGACATGTTCTCAACATGCCTATTTAACTGTGGAGGCATTTTAGATAGATACTACCTAACTACAGAAATTAAAGCAGACTTTCATAAGTCAACAAAAAACAGAAGAATTAAATGAATTGTGTCATTTTTTAAAAAGTCGTGTCTTATTAAAAGAGTTTTGTCTTTCTACATGCAAGGGATGATCTCAGGCTTTTGATAATTAGGCGATATTTCATGGGCACCTTCCCCACTTTTTATGCTGGCTTCACATGAATGACACTGAACCCTGTTATGATCTGCATGGTGACAGGCGGTATCATGGTTTTTCACTGCTCTTTTCCCCCCTCTGTGTAGCACTGGGATGGAAAACAGGGCCT